TTTGTTTTTAGCCATTAGCCTGACCGTGTTACCCACAAGGCCCTTTGCTGTTTTTATCAAGACGAGCAAAGGTGGCTCACCATCCATCTGCTGGTCTGCGCCGACCCCGTCATCACAGCTACACTCTTTGGCGCGCCAACATGAAATGACGAGTTGAATTAAAACACGAGTTGGAGGAGGAGCAGGGAAGTTGATGTAAAATATCTTCTTGACTTTGCATTAAAACTAATTATTTGGGGGAAAAAGTTCATTTTGGATGGAGAGAAAATATCTGCACTAACTGTGGTGTAATCCTCCAACCCTGCAGGTTTTTTTTATTTTACACCCCCTCACATGTATACAGAGACATGCAACACTGTTTCACACAATAATGAGCTTTGGGAAGCTGGCTTATCTCTTTCATTGCATTTAAAATGACTTCCTCCCTCGCTCTTAGCTCCCACTACGTGTCTGTCTGTTAGTCCATATGAAGCAGAGTTGAGCCTTTTGCCATTTGCCTGGAGGAACTGTTGGACAGTTTATTGCTAATCACTCAGCAGGAACGTCCAACCATGAAAACATGTACGTTGTCCATCTCTCTGCCTGATCTACACACTTTTTAATGACCTGATGGGACATGATGGTTGGTATTAAATTAGGTGAAAGCACAATAAAGATGACAAACTGTGGGACTGGAAAATTCCCAGTCCCACAGTTGTATTTGTTTGTAACAGTTATTTTCAAATCTAACGAAAAGTCAACAGTTTGGTGCATATTTGTCATCTGTCGTCGATAGATGAAGAGGGATGATGTTTTTTCCTGTGTTTGGCACAAAATTTGTTACAACTCATGAATTTTACAAATATTGACCTAAAATTTGGTGCTTTAGAAGCTGTCGTTCACAATCTGAGCCCAATCGGATTATACAAGGGCTTTGTTTAATATTGGCTTTAACTCTCTGTTCAAAACTCTGGTATGAAATGTGGCATGCAACATGCGGTCCTTCCCCAAATGCCAGGCTTTTGATTTCTTTGGTATTTTCTGCAGAACAATTACCGGTATTTATAAGGACATCAAACAAAGTCAAGTCAGGTCCTCTGGACGATTTCTTTATGTTGAAACGTTTCACCTTTCATCCAAATGACTTCGTCAGTCCGAGGAGCTGCGTCAATCTCAGTCTTAAAAATGGCACCTTCACATAGTGGGTCAACCAGTTGATGGTGCTCAGATGGTTTCTGGAGTCCCCCCACTCCCTCCCCGACCCCTCTGTGCCAGTAATGGCCAAAGTGGTTCAAAATATCCTGATTCATGCTCAATAA